CCGTACTAAATTGATTACACAAATTCTTCTTAAAAGTTTGTTGCTGTTTAATTCATCTAAAAATGTGAATTTTTTATGCAAAAATTTGAGGTAAAAACATGTAAATATAACAATTTTAGAACTTCCAAATAATTTTACCCAAAAATTTGATGGACATGGTTTTCCAAGCAAATTATGAGATTAAAAGATTATCTAATATCAGCAATCAACTGAAATAAAAAGTCTAAGATTAACAGAAACAAAACCATCCATGCTAGTCTGTTACTAATAAAAGAAACATCATGCTGTCTTGTAGACTAGGTCTTACCAGTATTATGTGTAGATTGTAGACCTATACCTTCCAGTATTATTACCAAAAGTCTACCAACAGCCTTGATTTTCATTGAAGCTATTTATTCAGAATTTAATATCATTAAATTGGACAAGGTAAAATTTTTTGCGGCTTTTGAACATAGGTACTCATAAATAGGATTAAGAGAGGATTTCTTTCCAATGTATGAGCAACGATGCTGCTTGTATATTCTTGGATCCTGTTTACTTCAAATCGAAAACTCATCAAACAAATTGACCAGATAGTAATGTCATGCTAATGCTAAGGTGAGAAAACCTCTTTTGAATCCCTATAATATCAAAAGTTCAAAATTCAAAGATACAAAGTATATTCATGAATAAGGAGAAATGTCATAGAAATTAAAAATCTTAGTACAAGATGATTTGAAATCAAGATTTTGCTCGATTGGCAACTATATCTGAAATTCAATTTCAAAATCAATTTCAACCAAAAGGTTGTCAAAAGCAAAATATCTTAACTCTGTCATTAAGGATAAGAATTTTTAGATATTACACCAATGTCATATCAACACAATAAAAAGTCAACCTACTTGAATGAGCTCTTTCTATTTTTTTCTGTACAGTTTTTTTATGTTGATTAACAGCCCTTTCTAAATGTTTACTCCATAGATCTCTGAAACGGGCAAAATATTTATCTTCTAAATGATTGCCAAACCAATAAAATTTAACTTATGTGTATCAAATCAATATCATGAATAAATACATAAAACTTTACTCAAAGTGGATTTGTATCATCTCTAAGTAAGGGCAGAATGGAGGAGGGGAAATGTTCAGAAAAAGCAATCAAATATCATATCAGCATTTCTACAAATCTGTTCAGGGATGATTAATAAAAGGAAGCTTTTAGGATCTAAAATAGATTCATAAAGGACACATGGGACCAAAAATCTAATGATATCAAAATGTATTTATTTATAACCGATAGCTTTTCAGACTGAAAGAATAAGAGTACCTCCATTGAGGACCACTGATGAATATTTTGTAAGTCTTTTCTTTAGTTCAATGTACAATGCACATTACTCCATTATCACCTATTTAGTACCAGTAGACTCATTTAATAGTATATTACTAATTTTTGCTAATCAATATTGTCTAGTGAAATCTAATACACTTAAGAAACTTGAAGAAAGTGAATCTAAATACCTTTCAGTTTCTGTTAATGCTCTAAAATTAAAGATTCTATCTGTATGACAGACTTGAAAATGACAAGAATCTGAATCTTCTTCTGTTGGTTTCCGTAATGTTATATCAGTTAATAACATGGGCTGAAAGATAGTAAAAATATACAGTATATAGTCAGTATAACAAGACTCTCTTAGACTATCAGTATCAATATGAAGCTGATTTTCCAAATCACATGACAGTGCCATAATATATAGACAAATGAGACAGATAAATTATAAATTATAGATATAAATACAATATCCGCTTAAAATATAGCTGATTTGATGTCTAAGTCTACATTAAAGTCAGAGCTAGGAGCTTCTGTAAGCAAACAGAGATTTTGCCTCATAGAAATAAGACCCAAGTTACAGCTGTGCATGAGAAATATAAATAAAATTTGATTTAACAACAAGAGTAAGAAGACAGTAAATTATCATTTCAATAGAATGAATTGAATCGAATGACACTTCAAATCATATTGCAACCTGGACCACCTGATTTGTTGAAATCTATAAAATGTTTTAAAAAGTGGAAAACTTACTGTTTTATAGATTTTAAAATGTAAAGTACTCTTGGGACTAAATAACATATGAGAAGATATATTGTTGCCTAATGATTTAGATGGTTGAGTTAATAGTAGAAAATCATTAAATAAAAATCCCATCAACTCTTTATTACTCTTCACCTAGAAAAGATAGGGTTTCTCAATGAATAACAATATGTTTGAATATTGAAGTAAGCTCTCTATATAGACCAGCATTGTACTTGTAGGTTAGATGTTTGCTGGCTTGGATTGGAAAATAGCCTGTTTGTAACTGTGCTGTACATAGAGATCTCTCAACAGTTGAAATAAAATAAGAGCAATTGTCCCGCTTTGCACAATGTATTAGCCATACACTATTAGGATATTTATCAGCCCAGCTTTGAATTTACATATGACTTTCTTTCCATGAAAGCCCTATAAACTTAAAGGGACAGATGCACCATATTTTTTACCAATCATATCGTAGTCAAGAATATTTTTTAGCTAAACCAATCTCTAATAGTGTTCACACTTCACCGTTAAAAATTGAGCCCTCAAATCCATGTGCGTCCAGAATTATCAGCTTTTGAAAGTTAAAAATATGAGTTGTCTTTTCTGGAGACACTACCATATAAGCTTAGATATTTTTGAATGAATTATGCAGTTTTTGTACATTTTTGGCACTGATTATTTACATTATTATATTCAAGACTCAAATCAACCCCCCAAAATAACAACGGTAAATATTGTGTACAGCCATAATTACAGTAACTGCACGTCCTTACCTTATACAGCAGACTAGAATGTAGTAGTTTTCTAGGACCAACACTATTAGTAACAGAATTAAAAGTAATTTTTTCAGGTATATTATCACAATGTACATGTTTTTGTATCCATTCTAGTTGGTCTGAGTTATCCTTCTCTCGAACACCTTCATTAACCTGACTACACAGTTCTTCAGCTCTAGATAAAGCATCCACTAGATTTTGGTAATCAGCATGATCTTCTGGTGTATATTTCAATATCTTAAACAAGCAAGAAACAGTATTATGTATTGAACATCAATTACCTTTTAATGGATTTAAGTGATTTTCTTATGTGAAAATACTTAAACCTCCTAATACAACGCTTTTTCTCTTCCTTTACTTCCTATAAATTTAATTTGGAAAGGATAAATTTGGCTAAAATTATGCTTAAAATGTAGTGCTTGATTTGTTCCTTTATCCTTATGCTGAAAGAGTAGCAATTTTGACCGTTATGATAAAAGAAGTCTTGCTTATTCTCACTCATGAGGACACACGTAATTCATTAGAACAGACTGAAACCCAAGCAAAATTTACACTACCTGTTTTATCATTAAAGGATATTTAGTAATACGTTGCATTGGTTTTAACAGAAAACTACTTAATGGCATGTTTTTAGTTCTTGGATCTTGTAGACATTGCTAAAATAAAAAAAAGTTGAAGAAATTATCTTAGTGTCTGCAATTTGAAAATGAAATGGAGTGTGCATTTTTCCTGAACACTGAAGCCAACGTGTCTACTTCTTGTTACATTTCCGTTACTAAAATATCTTAGCCCAGCATATATAATGGATGTTGGACTCATAAAAAAATCCCCATAGTAATAGAGTATGGTCAAAGCACATCAAAGTTAGGAAAATACTTACTCTGTGGGCTTCATTAAAAGCAGGAAAATTATCAAATTTATGTTGTAATAAAGCAGCTGCTGTCAATTGACAACTACAGAATCTAACATAAGGTGTCATATGTGGTAACTGAAATCATAAAGGAACAATTTCTTAAATTCAGTGTCAATTCATTTCTCTGATATATTATTGAATAAATCTATAACATTTTCTGACAAATAACAAATAGATTATCTAAATATATGATTTATAGAAATTAATGATGGGTCACAGCCAGTTTTAATAACCACTCTTTACAGACAAGATTACAAGAGAGTTAGCATATAGAAATTCCACTTCAAGTTAGATGGCATATTGCACATGACAATTCACTCAATTTTGTGTCCAATTCACAGTCTATATATTCATCATTCTAAGAGTTTAAAGATACTTACATTTTCACATAGGATATCACCAATCATATGAATAGCTTTTCCTTTACCACTCATTTTCTTTCTTACTCTCAAAGCTCTGGAAAATCAAATTTATGAATTATATTTATAGAAGGCATATAACCAATAACATTATAGATTGAGAATACTGAAACAAATTTCACATATAACATTTCTTTAATAAAGAAATACTTACTAAATAAGTTTCAAAGATAAGATATATAAATTTTTACTAAGTAATATCATAAAGGAATATTTACTAATATTTTTAATAAAGAAATACTTACTACATAAGTTTCAAAGATAAGTTATATAAATTTTTACTAAGTAATATCATAAAAGAATATTTACTTGATATTTCTAATAAAATATAAAAAAGTTTTATAAAGGAATACTTACTTGATAAGTTTGGTACTGCTGATGATCAGATCTTGTAGGTTAACAAATAATTGTTGAGATTCTTCTTCTGTGATGACATTAGCAGCTACTAATGGTTTCTGAAATACCTGGAAATAGAAAGCAGTGTCAAATTCATATTTCCTACTCTAAAAGGAAGAAGCACCAAATCTCATACACTTGAAAATGAGATGGATTTTATATCCTACGCTTCTGTTCCAATTGGGAATGAAAACGTGTAAGTTATGATAAAAATTTTGCCAAAGCTACCCTTTTAAGTCAATTTTAGTGGTGTGGTCTGACCTAAACCCTTCTAGGCTAGGAAATGGAGTGAAGCATTTTCTACAAATTGTAAAGACCCAAATGAAATATTTTACATGTAAACCTGATAAAGAAAATTCAGACAGACATTGCCAGAAATAAAACATTACAGAGACAGCAGCCTTTTTTTACATATAGCCTACGAGTGTTATTCTTACCTCTCTGACAAAAGATATATCATCAATATAAGTCTGTTCTGTGTTGATTAATTCTTGTATATAATTTTGACGATTTTTCTCTGTTGGTGACAGATTTCGAATCAATGAGTTAGAGTCTCGATTTTCTCTTGAAACTAAAAAAAAATTAAGTTACCAATAGGTTACTACCCATGAAAATTCCCAGTTTTGACATTTGAAGCTGAATTCACAACCGTGTGTGTAAAAACTTGAGGAGTCCACTACAATACAACCTTTATTCTCGATTATGCCCCACTTTGGACAAAATTTTAATTAAAGGAATTGTCTTGCTTTTATTACTTGTAGTGATGAAGACTCAAAATTGGTTTATTTACTCAAGAATCCAATACTGATGGTTTGCTTATAATATTCTCAATTTTGTTTCAAGCTGTTTGCATTTTCACTCTCAACAAGAGTGACAATAATACTATTCTCAACCTCTTTCTTGTTGGTTGAAACAACATTCTTCTGCTTTATGCAAACCCAGGTTGGATTCATATGTCTTCTAAAATAATTGGAATCTAATATTTGGAATTTGTGGTATTCTGTAATACTCTACAAATTTATCTATGAATATATCCACAAACCGAATCTAATATCAGTTTGCAATTCCATTAAAAAATTAAAGACATAAAAATAAATCTGGCAAGGAAAAAAACTTTGAGAACTTTCATATATGCTGATATGAGGAATCAGAGTGAATTGAATTCAGTTTAGTTGAATGCTGTTCTAAAAATAATGGAATCTTATTCACTGGATCATCTTCAGGAAGGCAATAAACTATCATTTCTGGTTTTGTACATGTTCCTTTAGCAACAGTAGGATGATAATGATGAGAGAAATGAAGAGGCTTAAACTGATTTAAGAGATTAAAACACACATAGATTATGTCTAATTTATTATCAACATTGTAGTGTATGATTCTAATCAATTCTGTCTATTATAACTATTCATACTTCAGTATACATTCTAATATCATTATCAAGTGAGCTAATAACACCATCCAGTAAATCATGCTATTTTAGTGTATCATAATAACTTTCATGTCAATATTCATATCACACAATCATTGTCATCCAGAAATGTTCTAATTCCTGATGGTTTTTTTTATATCAGTCATAAATAAAACAATATACCCATTAAAACACTTGTACCTCCCACTCTAATGACCAAATTGTGAAATGATAACAAACCATTTTGTGCTCCAGAAGTTCAAATTATGATCATTCTTTTAACAAAGTTTTCAAAGGTAAAAGTTTGGTAGTCAATATGTTTGAAACATCTTTATTAGAGACCAATGTCTAGACTAGTCAAATAGTGCTGGACCTCAAATATTTTTGCAGATGATTTCTGATGTTCAGACAATCAAAATTAAAATCAAAATAACATTAATTGCTCTGTTCCAAGCATAAGGAGAAATAACAATTAAGACCAATTCTAAAATGAATCCCAAAAATCAAAAATGATAAAATTTTCATGACCAAAGCAAGAAAATATATTTGAAAACAAAAACAGCAGAACCAAGATCAATATTGTTTAAGGAGTATCAGCTTTATAAATCAGGAGATTAAATAGGTGGATTTGAGCCTATGGCACAATACAGTCTTTCACTATGATAATTTACCTGTTATTGAGTGCCACCCAACTGTCTAACACACCTATTTGAATGAAATTATCTATGACGATAGACATCAATGATGGTTTATTCGTTTAATTAATTTTTATCCATTAATAGCTATTATACTGATAGGCTATATCATAAAACTTATAAATAATTACCGGTATATATAAAATGTTATATAATTTACATATTGAATAGTCTACTACCTAATTCCACTATTTTACAATCTTTCATATTAAGGCTAAAAGCTTGCATACTATTTCAAACTATCACAAAATACAACACCTAATCACAATTTCTATCTATGCTATGAGCTTATTACTGTTTAGTTGAGCACTATCTCAATGCCCTTGTATATGTAATCTCAGGAAAATGGTTAAAAAGATGATTAACACACAATGATTATGTTATGTATGTTAAGTGCTGTGACCACCTATTTTTCTATGTTTACTCAATAACTATTCTAAGGTCCTTAGGTGTCTTTAAATTGGTGTCACAATACTTAGTGCATCAGTTTTCTAGAGATATTGCTTAAAATACACTTTTAATCTACACAAAGTGATTACATTATTCTCAATTGGGTTGTGGTCCAGATGTATCTATCACCTATGGATTTATGTCTCTTTTGCTTTTATCTATAAATTTTTGATTTATTCATATGAAGCTTAACTGTGTATAAAAGTTGCAAATGCAAATGCTGGACTGGACACAGTGGACATGTACTTGACAATGAAAAACAGTGGAAATATATGCGACCATATAATTGTCATAGTGAAATTTACTTGGCACATTGACAATGTTTTCTACAATATACTTGCCACAGTGAGAATGTACTCGACTCTTTTTACACAAGAGATGTAATATTGATACAAAAAAAAAAACAGTGCTGATCTTAAACTATTAGGAAAATGTGGTCAATAATGAATCCTTACTAATGATGTAAAGCAATTCAGCACAATCATTAACATAAAGGCTAGTTTGAATTGAAAACCTAGTGTTTGAGCAGTCTTACAAGCAGTTTTTACTAGCAGTTATTGATGAAATACAAGACAAAAATTAGGACTTGTGGCAACTATCAACAACAAGCAGTATAGATGCACCCTTAATAATTGAAATTATCAGTAAAACAAAGTTACATTTTCATGTTGAGTATTTTTATGTTAAAAAGGAGTATAGTATATTATGTAAACCATTCCAACTAAAATATTTGGCACCAATGTGTTAGAGTCATAATATCACTTTTATCTAATTTGACAGTGTTCAGCATATATATTTGTCAATATCAATGTCATTTATTATGAAATCTAAAGACTTGTATGTAAATTACCTCAAAATGAGAAGAACCTGTAACATTACAGAATAAGATTTATATTACCTCTGTTTGTTGTTAGTCTTATTTAGTTTTTAATTAATTTCTTATTCAAAGTTCAATTACATGTATGTATTTCTGGGCACTAATTGTCATATTTTCCTTCTTCTTATTTTGTAAGTCGTCATATATCATATATGTCGTATATGTTTTACATCAGCTGCACGAACTTAACTTTTACCACTAGAAGCTGGTTCGCAAGCTATAGCATTACATTGTTCATCTTAATCCAACTTTTAGGTCATTCTTAATACAATATTATCTGTACAGACATGTTAAAATTATGGCAAAATCAATTTATGTACAATTATAAAATCAAGATATGATATATGAGTAACTAATAATTATGATATAAATGAGATAAAATTTAATAACAGAATATACCAAACTTAATAAGTATAACAAGTTGCATATAATGGGATAACAAAAAAATTAGATTATAACTAAATATGATTATTGTTTGTTTTTGCTATATGCAACGTGAGTATTTTTCATTTCATAAGACAAACCAGTAGAACTTGTTTTGACACAAAATATTAATTTTGGTCATTTAGGCAAGGGCTAATGAAAATGTAGAAGCTCTCACTTACTTACTGATTTGATATTAATATGATTAAGTGTGAAAAATATACCCTTAATTAATACGGAATTCAGCCCATCACATAAATGGCAACATCATTTAAGCATATATGCATGTGAGGATGTGAGGATAGAAACTTGTGGGCACGTATTTAAAGAATTGAATGAACTTATTTCAAAGCCTAATAAGTAGTAAACGTTTCTTATGAAAATGCCTTTTGTTAACATAATATCATCCACATTTTGCTTCACTACAGAGATGTTTAATTCACTGAATTGTAGCACAGAAATGGAAACCTGTTTTAAGTTAACTATAATAATATACCTACTACCAACAGGTATTTGGCAATATGCGAGTGAAAACCATAGCGACCTAGCAACAATATAAAACAATGACCAGCCACCAAAAAATACTTGACCACAACAAAATGAGGAAAGAAAGAATGAAAGGAAATAAAAGCTAGTAAAATGAAAATGGCACGCCTGGTCTATGACTCACTACCACACACTGGTTGAGATAATTCAAAATGGTCTCCTTGTCTTCACTAGCATATTACCAAATATCAAATCAAACTCACCATATTTGCATACCTTAAGATGTTCAAATCATATAACATGAATATCAGTTATTACTAAATAAATATGAGCTCAGAGAACATTGCAAAATATCATGGTGCAGTTCTATGTGAACTTCTAATACAAAAATTCAACATCTAATTTAAGTGAGAATCTAATATGACTAATCTCATACAAAATGACTTAAGTTTCAAAGTCAGCTACAATGAAAAAAAAAAAAAAAACAGAAAGAAATCCAGAAAACTGTAAATTGAAAGAAACATTATTTCACAAAACAAATGATTTGAAATTTTTTGAAGTGGTATGCAAATATGGTTAGAAAAAAGCAATAATAAAATTTTTGAAGCATGCAAATTGTTTTGGGTAATTGTAGGAAGAATTGAAGGAGAGCTGTAGATTTGTTGATGTGTTTTTCTATGTGGTGGTAATGAGTTACAGACATTGCATCAGGCCCGTCATAGATTAACTAGCACTATCCTGAAGAGAGAAAATAAAATACCACAGTATATTACCAATATCTATATTACATACCGTCTAGACTATTATCTGAATTTTGGATAATGAACTACGTCCTACTTTCTGCACCTGTTTGGACTAAGGAGGACAGCCAGTGTGCAATGAGTGAAATTTTGTCAGGACAGCCAGTTCTTTTTTGATTTATTTCACATGCACAGGTCCTCGGTTGATTATAGATAAACAGTGTACAGATTTTTGCTAAGACAATAGCGCTAATTAGATACTGTTTTATTTCCAGCTGTTAAGGGAACTAAATGCTCCTTTAGATCACATAGGGCTATCCAAATCTGACAAAGGAACTAGGAAAGATTAGTAGAACACGACTGGCAACTGATCTTGTATTCAGATATATGTATCACTGATAAAAAGTTCTCACATATGGTCAAACTGCAACATTTTCCAATTTTCTAAACTTGCACAATCCATGACTGGACACAGAGAAAAAATCGTAAGATCTGAACAATGGAGAATTCAAAATCCTTAATACAGTTTTGAAACAGACTTTCAAACCACCTTCCCAAGTGTTTTTAAAGAAGTAAAGAATACTTACAAGAGTTGTCAGTGTATGGTACAACATAATTAGAAGGGAACATTCCCACTTGTCCATCTTCCAATTCACCTTGCCACCAATCATTATTATCTTTGTTCAATACAGTCATCACAGAATCTTTTTGGAATGTCAGTTCATCATCATTTTGAGAAGTATAAGCATACAGTGCCTTCACTTTCTCTACTGAAAATATCACATACAGAATTATATAGATTAATTTTAAGGCATTCTATGGTCTCAGAACTGGATTCTCAGCAAAAGTTTGGAAAATATTCGATTGAAATTTCTCAGCAGTAATGTACCGTATTAAGTATCCTCTAGCAACCTAAGGTTATTATGAGACTATCAATACTGATAACTGATATAAGAATAACCAAATGAATATTAGGAAAAAGATCGATTTACTGAAGTAGGTATGTTGGAATAATTCCATTGACAATCCATATACTTTTTAACAATAGAAGTGTTAGACCTACCTGCAGTATTAGCTGATACAGTAGTAGTAGTAGCAGTAGTAGCAGGTTGAGAAGATTGTGATGATGTAGATACAGGAGTTGCTGATCTACTATTCTGTTGAGACTACAACATAAATCATGTATCAGATGAATGATAGGAGTTTTTACATCTTACTTTTCTAATACCATGTGGGCAAATGAAGATGGGCTCTAGGTGGCAAGCACGGCATCCTACGGTTGAAATATTGTGGCTTTACCCAAAAACTGAGGTGCTTACTGATAGATCTTTAAGTAAATAAGAATACCTACCACATTCAAGGTAGCTGATAAACCTGTATCAGGTGTAGATCTAGCACTTGATGGTCCCAATAATTTCACATAATTAGCTGGAAACCAACCAATCTTTTTCTTTTGACCTCTTGCCTGAAATTAATATCATTGCACATTGTAGATATAATAAGTATTAATGGTAACTTTAGCTTTTAAACAAGGTTTAAAATAATAATCTTGAGGAGATGTCAGTTATGCAAATTTTCAAGACAAACTCATTAAAAAGATCTGCTTTTCAAATATAAAAATATTATATTTCAATATATTCAAAAGTCAAAACACCTTTAAACAAAGAAATGTTACTTTTTTCACTCAAACAAGGATTGTTAAGAAAAGCCACGTTTGACAGTTAATGTTCCAAACTAACCTGTAATTCTCCCTCCCACCAACCACGAGGAGATTTTTGTCGAACCTGTATTAAATTACCAGTTTCTAATGTTAGTTGACCAGCACCAGTAGCTGTATATGGAGCTATTACCATAGCTATTTCTGGAACAAAATAAATACTAACAGTGTAAGATGATTTAAATTTCAATTACAATACTACCTGTCATGTGAAATAGATATAGTTATTCTTAATCATAAATTGTGCTATGTTCTATTCTTTGCCTTTCTCAAGAAATAGTAAACTGGAAAATAAAAGAAACCAACTAACCTGGTTTCTTGGATGTCTTTTGACCAGGCTGAAATATATAGATATTCTTAATAATTCAATACATAAAATACAAATAATATAACATTCAACTTCAAAATACACTATCGAACATCATTTGTTTTATTTTTCAAGTTATAATTTATAGATGATAAGTTATCTTTTATGATACTAGTTTCTATAAACTCTATGTGAACATATATTATTGAAAATGACATATTGATGTTTGAAGAGAAAATATTACATCATTTAAACAAACAACATCTACTATGGTACATAATACATGCAGATCTAGAGTATAAGCAACAACACAACTTTAATTCATAATTAAAACAATATGACTGCAGAGATTACATCTCTTTGAACTAAGCATAAACAGAGCCAGTTAATAAATAGAAAAGCAAGCATAACTAAAGACTAAAGCATGGAATGAATTCATGAAATAAGAGTTAACCTCTTATCTAATCAAGCTGTACTGTTTCTCAGCAGAAGATAAGCTTGCTCAAAATGATGAAAGCTTGTTATAGAAACCTCTGATAGAATAATATAATTAGTTAATCAATGAATTCATTCCATGCTTTCACTAAAGAAAAAAGACCACACCTCTGAAGTATTAGTAGGAGAACTAGTAACTATAGTTGTTGGAATAGAAGATGGTGGCCCACCCATTAAACCAGCAACTTCTGCTGAGAAAGCTCCTGAGTCTGTAGTATCAGCACCTGTTGTGGTCTTCCGTGACAAGACATCAACAGTTAAAGCAGAGTTGTTAGTATTTAATGATGTTGTATTGGTCATGTCAGGAATATTTTCAAACAATGATGGAGTTACTGGTTTTGAAACATCAGGAACATTTTTTAAAGAACTGTTATTGGGTACATTTTCATAAAGTTTTGTGGTTGTTCCAAAATTAAACATAGCATCTGTTCCTGATGAACTTGCACCTTGATTTGTTTCCCCAAAGCCACAAGCAGTACTGGCTGGATCTGAATGAAAAGGATCTTCACCAACTGCTGCGGTGGAAGTTGTTGTTGTAAAAGTAGACTTTGAGAAGGCGCCAAATGGATCAAAATCAAAAGGATCTTGCCCTTTCTTTTGCTCTTGAGTTGTAGATGTCACTGTAGTTGAAGATGAAAAGGTCAAAGCCTGACCATTTGTAGTTGATTTAAACAAATCAGCTGGACTCTTGCTTGAACTCAAAGTAGGAAGAGCATTTTGTTCTAAATATTGGGGCTCTGTATTCAGACCAGCAAAAGCATCTCCAAATGAAGCAAAAGCATTAATTTCTGTAGACTTGGTTGTCTGAACAGAGGTTTGATTGTCCTTGAACAAATCATTATTATTATTCAGAAAAGGATCTTCAGGAAAGGCTGGAGTTGAACTATCTGTTAACCTTAAACTGGCATAAGGATCAGCTGACTGAGACACATTTTCAGGTACATTGGATAATGGACTTTCAGATACTCTCAAACTTTCATAAGGGTCTGTTGATTGTGGCCTAGAAGATGGATTAGATCCTAGACCAGCTGCTGCATTTCTCAAACTTTCATAGGGATCTGCAGATTGAGATTTGGTTCCAGTCTGATTTGTTGATATAGCTAATCCAGATAGATCACCAGTTTGAGGATTTGATGATGTCTCTGATTGTGGTTGAAGTTCTGGCATTCTAAAGCAATCATATGGTTCTGTTGACTCTGGTCTCGAACTTGGCGCTGAGCCTGATTTAGGTGTTAAATGTATAGTTGGTGACTCAAAATGTTGATAAGGGCCAGTAGATTGTGGTCTTGCTGTTGGTAAAATTTCTGATTTGATTCTAGCTATAGGATCGAGAATGTTGGCTGACTGAGGTCTTTGAGGCAGATTTGAAGACTTAGGTGGCACTGAAGACTTTCCAAAATCAAAATTAAAATCGGAAAGTAGGTCGTCCATTGATTTTGTGGGTTGCATTGTCTCTGATATAGTACTCCCAAAAACATCTAGAGTATCTGCTTTGTCATTTGTAATAGAGCTATTACCCTTTATGTCCCCTACACCACCACCAATCTACACCACATACAGTAAAAGAAAGATAATAGTATTAGCTCATAACAAGAAGCCATGCTTAACAGATTGCCATGCAAGAATAGTCAAACTAAATACTAGCTTATCTAACCTAATCTTCAAATATTGCCAAAATGTGGTACAGTATCAAACTTCATACACATATTAATACAAAAAATTTCTTATTTGATTTGAAAATACCCTGTTTGATTCAATCGATCAAAAGATAAATACTTCCCTAAATATATGATTTAGCACAAAACTAGTATGTAGTCTGCCATTACACATATTCTAATAAAGTTTCTACAGATTTTAGCTACGAAAGACACATTGAAATATAAAGTTACAAAATGACATGCTAAACAGAGTTCACAGATTACAGTACCTGTATTTCGACTTTCTTAACATAATTAGCAGGGAACACTCCTGTTTTATCATTGAGAGAACCTGTCCACCAATCACCTTCAGCTTCTGTGACTAGAATCATTTCACCCTCGTTAAAATTCAAATCAGTAGGTTCTGCTGATACATACCCATACATTGCTACATAATATTCTGAAAATAAAATTAAACAATGACTATTATTATTTGACCCTTATATGAGAAATTTAGCCAAAAAGACATATTGAAAAAAAAATTATATTTTTTTCTTAAAAATTCTTACCTTAAACTTTGACATTTAGAAATGACATTTAGAAATAGTAAATTGAGCAGCATATGCTGCATATAATTCCACAAGAAAAAGAGACATATATGAATTAATCACTAATAATAAACGAAGTCTTACCACCATCTTTTTTATCAGAAGGTGCTGGAGAACTAGTATTACTACCATGAGTTTCTTGTGTTATTATATTACTAACTGCTGGTGGACTCATAACACTAGAACAACAGTACATACCGTAAGACAATAATTTTACCATCACTTTCAAATTTAGGTTTGGAATACGAGTAAACTATGCAGCTTCACAGAAAACAGGGAAAAGTAAATGATTTGTGTTTTAAAGAGACAAGGTGATCAAAAAGAAGGATCATGCCCTGCTTTGTAAGACACGCATGCCACATCAATCATTAAAAATATTTGGGAAATGACTAAGATGAGCATCTTAAAGTTCTTTTAGTTACAAATTTAATCATTCTTAATAATTCACCTTTCTTTAGCTCCAACACTGACTAGTTTAACATAAGCTTTAGGAAACCAACCAGTCTGGAACAAAATAAAATTCATTTCATTATCTTGTGCATCTCCAAAAACATTTAGAGCAAAACACAGACATTTTTGTAGTAAAAATTGATTTTCTCAGATTCCCACCTTCATCAATCTACCAAGACAATCATGACTGCTTTTTCTTTACAGGTCCAAGCAAACATTTGTACAAAATTTAATTCCAAATGAAATTGAAACAGTTTTCTTTTCTGTACCTGATTAAGTGATAATGAAGATGGCCAATATTCAACTGAGCTACCGCAACCTCCTTAAATTTCATTTGACTTTGGACTGACAGGGAACTTAAAATTCTTCACCTTACCTTGCCATTTAATTCTCCCAGCCACCACATATCTTGTTGTTCTTTAACAATAATGGTATCATCTTTATTAAAAGTTAGATGATTATCTTGTCTAGCTTTCCATGGGTATGTTGCTTTAGCTGTTAACCCATCTGGTGCTATCTGGCCCTACAAAAGAATTATTTTTGACATCAACATTCAGTTATCCATACAATGATGAGCAACTATACATATGTCCACTCCTTCGTATTCAGTCATCTTTCAGCTTTATTAAACAAGAAATAGACAAGTGTACAATATACCAACCTGTCCTGGTGTAGGTGAAACAGCTGTAAATGAAGAATCTAAGGATGTTGGTAATCCTAAACCAGGATTATTGCCATCATTGGGTACACTTGTTGTAACAGCAATACTTTCAAACTCATTTCTAAATGAAAAACATAATTAGTTATTCTTAAAGGGAATTTTAAAAAAAATAATATCTTTTAATTGTAGTGGAGCTCAAATTCAAAATGTTTTTGGAAACAAAAACTTTATTCTTATAAACTGAAAATGACCTTGTGGAGAATCTCATTTACCAGCAGAGCTATTTGTGTGCAGCATATTTGTGAGGTACTCCCTCATATCATCCTTTAAAACTATTCTCAAAGCTTATTCTTACCCAAAACCTTCGGAGGCAGCTGATGCAACATCATCTTTCTCCACATATGCTTTAGGAAACCAGCCTGTTTTACCATCCTTCTCCCCTTTAAACCATTCCTCCATACCAGGAACTACAGCACCTTGATCATCAGGTACCTAGTCAATAACAAATATTACTATCAATTGTCTCACAGAGGATTGTATAAGGGACTGAAAGTCTTAAAAAAGTCAAACTACTTCATTTTAAGTCATACACAGGAAATTAATTGATACCAGCAGAAGACTGATTCATAAATGAATCTTTAATTAACTATGGATATCCTAGAACATAATATAATATAATATAATAAGTGAAACTCAATTATAAATTCCAACTTACCATAACTAGATCATTAGCATACAGATTTAACTCATCATCACCTCTTGCTTCAAAATCATACAAAGCTCTATATCTAGTTTTGGCTGCAAAAGTTTAATGACAAATTTCAGGAAAGGTAAAAACAAGCTCAATGTTACCTGATTTTAAATATAATGAAAATTATCCCTGTAGTTTGAACCCTATTCACAAATATATCACTGATTTCATGTAATTATAATCAAAATCATGGAATGTGGGTGGATATTTTTGACAAAGTAGAGGGTTATCACTACACATGGCCTGGTGCTGTTAAGGGATGTACCTATATCATAAATGAAAGGGATAGATAGTGCGTTCAGACGACAAAACTAAGTCAGCTTAAGCCAGGTTTTAAGCCACCTCTCAAATAGGTGCAAGTTAAGGCAGCTTAAGTTTGACCAGATCTGAACGCATAATAAGAGTCTACTAAATATTTGCTCTTGCATCTGACAGAGCTCCATTTGAACTCTCTGAAATATCTTTAGAATGAAAATCTGGCATTAAGAACCTGACAATGTTGAATTAGTACAAAATAAAGCTGTCTATAAGGCAAAACATATTTTTTAGCTAAAAAAGAATTTCCAGTACATACCAGTAGTAGAAGTAGTAGTTGGTTGACTAGAAAAGGCATCAGTAGGCCATGCTGAATTACTGGTAGTAGTAGTGGAAGTAGAGAAGGCTGTAGCCCAGTTATCTTGACTATTATTACTAGTAGCTTGAGTTGAATTGAAATCAAACCAATTATCATCTTTAGCAGGTTCTAAAATCAAATAAGCATCCTTCATCAGACGAAAATTAGAAAAATGAGAGAAAGGTGTTTTTGTGCCTTGAAATCGGAATGAAATCTCATATTGATTGCATGCAATTTCAAAGCAAATTTGATGGAAAATCCAAATGATCCACAAAGCAATCTTTCAAGGCTATTTCCAAACTCGCATTGCAAATAAATATATAGGCATATGTTCTTACCTGATTTAGGAAAGACAATTTCTTCTCTGAAAAATTATAATGATAAACAATAATTATACAAGTTCACTTCAATTGCAAAGATCACAGCTGAAAAATCTTTTGATCTTTATTTTAAGGTTTATGTCTGTGGTTAAATTTAGTTTTTTGTGTTACAGAAAACTGATTGGTCAGTAACAATACTGTAACAATATAAGAAAAAAAGAAACAACAATATTTTACAAGGATAATAACTTAGGATCCTTTCTACCATCTGGTCCTTGACCATATCTCTTGGCATTGATATTTTCCAGATTATATCATGGTATAGCATGTTTACGCTTTTGTTATAGTTCATTTTTCTGACAGCAAGCTCAGATAAATGACAGTCTGTCTGCTGAATTTTGAGTGTGTCAACCTCAATCTTATTAATTCAATGAGGCTAAAAATCAAACAATGTTCAAACACACACAACTTACTTCTTTTGTTTAGCTTGAGCTTCCACCTCTCTCTTTAATCTCTCTTGTCTTTCTTTTTCTTGTTGTTCCATAATTTCCTGATCTCTCTTCAACTGAGCATCTTGTTGTAGTTTTAGTTTCTGTTGATTTTGTAAAGTGGGGATTTCTTTTTGTAACTTGTGGATCAAATCATTTGATTTCTGAGAGGAAAAATAAATTATTGTAAGATAGTTGATTTGTTTCATATTTATATGAAAATAGTTCTCTTCTGGTACAAAATCATTTTTAAAGACTTATCCTTTTTCTTACCAAAAATTACATTTTTCAATAAAGTAGTTATAAGTGTATAATTCTACAGCTAAAAAATATATCTATGAAAGAACATTTAACTTATTAAGTCTTAATTGTATCCTTGTGAGTGATATTTAGTTAGGTTTCACACTTCTGACAAACTTTGATTGCAAACATATGAGTATAGGTGGGTGGACTGAATACAAAATTTGATATGGATTGTTGATCAAAAAATAAATTTTTTCGATGCAAGACATTATATCTAATGCAGGAGAGTTCTACCAGCCTACCTTTAAATCTATATTAAATTGATCTATTTCTGTTAATCTAGTTTCAGTATCTTTTTCTATCTGTTCTAATTCTTTCTTTAATTTTAATACATTAGTTTTCTTCTGTTCTACACTGTGCATTACTGTCCGATGGGTATCAGCTAAAACAGACAATGTCAATTTATAATGGTCAATTTGAGCTCAGAGATCTTACTTTTTAATTATACAGATGCGCTATTTGCAGATATACGATAAATCCTTGAAGATAAAATTTTTAATGCAGTCGAGACTAGTGAAAGGTTAAGTCAAACATATAGCAGATTCTTGAGCATAAGAAAACTTACACAATGGTGTTGTCTGTATACTTTGAACTTGCATCTGTAACTGATCTTTATTTTGAGAGAGGCCACCTAATCTTTGAGAGAGAGTTTGTAATTCATTCTGTAATCGTTCCATCTCAGCCATCTTTGTGTCTCTAGTTGATCTCATACTTTCTATACTAGATGTTAATTCTGTTACACCATTCCTTACTTGATTCACTTTCATCACAATCTCAGCTTTCTTACCATCCTATAAAATAAATATTATTATTTTCCAAACTTGTCTGCAATGTTTTGAAATCAGGTAAAAACACTTAATCAATTCGCAATGCAACATAATATGCTACATATAAAAACTAGCTACAGGGGAGCAAGAAGGGCAAAAATGGATTGACCCCTTGTAAAAATTCTGAAAATTGTCCAATTTCATAGCTGCAACTTAACAATACTCCATTGTCTCTCTGGATATATTACTTGTGCCTCCAAACAATCATGTCTGGCTACGAGCCGAAATCAAAGCACAGTCTTTTTAATTAAAAGTTAACGAATTTTGATGCAGGTCTTCACTATATCCTGTTGCACATTAAAGCAACAATGCCAGAATATTACTGGTCTATAATTCAACTTACCAAAGCTTCCAACTGACATTTCAAATTACTATCTTCAGATTTCAAATTTTCTAGAATTTCATGTTCTCTTTGCTTTTCAGCCAATAATTGTTCTTTTCTTTGTCTTTCCCATTCCATTTGTCTTTGACGTTCTAATTCCCTTCTAGCAGCCTGTATTCAAATCATTAACATACACAATATACAATACAGAATAGCATGCAAAGCCAAAGACAGTAGATTACTTCTAAATGCACCCCCATTGGTAGAACGAAAAAGCATAAGGCTGAATTTAAACTTTTATAACATAAAAATTTTAATTAAAATTGGTTGAAGAGCTATACAGCATTTTGATGTAGCCAAGACTTAGTTCATAAATTTACTATTCAAATATTGACCTCTCAACAAGAGAACAAAACCATAATTTACCTCTCTCTGTTCCATCATTTTACGTCTCTGTTCTTCTCTTTCTTGTTCTATTTGTCTATGCTTCTCCATTTGTCTTTCTAATTCTCTTTGTCTTTTCTCTTCTTGTTCTCGTCTAATAAAACAATTCAATAATTCATTACTGCTTTATAAAACTTACTAAAATACATGTTTCTAATTACAATTTTCTATATGATTGAAAAATAATCTTATGTACTTTTAAACAAAAAATGTATGCACTATAATGTGCCTGAATTCAAATATCAGGAGCTGATTTTTAACTTTGTTATAAACAAAATACCATTGTTATATGTGTGCGTATGAAAGTACCTGATTCTTTCTCGTTTTTCCTGCTCTTTTCTCTCTTTTTCCTGTCTTTCTGCTTCTTCTCGTTTCATCTGTTCTTGTAACATTTGACGTCTTTTTTCTAATTCAGCTTGACCTCTATCAAAATTATCTTTCCTTCTATCTTCAAACGTAACTAAATAATAAGAAATAATAATAAGAGGTGTAATTATACAAATAAAGTCATATATCAATTATAATTCAAAGTGGTGGTCATTACAACATATATTCTATGAAGTAAACAATTTTAGTTTGTGACTGTAGCTTCTGGTCAATAAGAATTTACATTATATCATGTCCTGTTTTTGTTTTTTGGAACTGAAGGTCTCTCTTACGAGCTATGTAGATTCTAAAAGGTACCAAATGAAGCTCTAAATGCTTTCTAACCAGCTCCATCCATGGAAAACCAATTGCTTATGATCTATTTCAAGCTATTCTAAGATGGATCTTGTAACTATTCTGTGCTTTTGATTCATTACAATGTTCATGCTATCAATAAAAATTCCTACCTGGCATTTTTGATTCATCGTCTTCCTTCATGTCACCATTAGGTTGAACAGGCATGGGTGGTTGTTGAGCAGGCATACCAAATCCTCCCAACAGATCACCAAAAGCATCTTTCTGAGGAGGAGGACCACCAGGAGCACCAACAGACGCTGGAGGAGGAAAACCACCTGGTGCTGCACCAATTTTCATACCTTGTGGTATTAACTCTGGGGGTAATTTAGGTGGTAATGGTCGACCTAACCTTGCTACATCAGCCAGATGTAATGCTATACAGAACTCATCACAAGTTAATTTTCCATCATTATCAACATCTGATAAGGTCCTGAAATAACAAGAAACAAAGCAAAAATTTAAATTCTGGCCACTTCAGTATGTCAAGAGGCTGCATCAAACTATCCACATAGCAACTGAAGTTCCATATTATCCATGAAAATACAATGCTTCTTTCCAATTTTAGTGATATTAAAAACTTTTAAGAAGTTTTAATTACATATTCAAATGTTAAAAGTAAATTAGTAGCTGGATTATTACTAATGAAAAACTCACCATAGTTGAGCTAATACTGGTTGTGGTAAACCGGTCTGTACTAGAATTGCTCTAGCTTCAACACCTACAAAATTTTAAGCATACAAGTAATAAGATATGTCATTACAGTTAAATCATACTGAATAAATATACCAACAAGGCATATGTTGTGTGAATTTCAAAACTTTCCACCATACTCAATGTCATTATTAAAAGAAACTGTCGAAAATCATGTGATAAAATCCCTTTATTATAGCAGGCGACTCTCAAATCAATAATGCTATGTCCAGAGCACAAAAAGCATGATTTGCTGAAATTTTTCTCAGTTTAGGTTACAATTTCACATGTTTAACATCATTTTAGCAATATTATCATTGCTCTGAATGGACGTATTAACGCATTTTTTTTGCCATCACCAGTACCATATATATATATATATATCACATGACTCAGATATCAATTTCTAGCTCAATATCTAAATACTGATCATTTCAATACATACCAGTTAAAAATCCCCGTTTATTTCTATCATTAGTATTAAATAACTGTGTATATTTTAATTTAGATGGATGAGGTATTGCCCAACTACCACCAGCTGCTTGTGGTACACTGAAAAGTAGTGAAATAAAATATTACAATCTTTAGATCCAGATGTTTAGATGTTCTCATCCATGATCTGACATGATTGTTAGAAAACAAAATCTAAAAATCTAAACATACCCAGCAGCAGGAGCCATTCCAACACCAGCCATTCCTGGAGCTATAAAAGACGATTACAAAAAATATAGTGATCATTCACTCTAAATTGTTCTCATGATGTTCTGGAACTCATTTTCAAAATATATAATAAATAATATGCATTTCATAAAAGTTTTCAAAACAGCTACAGCTTACATATTGAATTACATTGATCAGACTAATTATTAATTATCACCCTTGGATTACTCAAATACACACATTGTCATTTTTTGAATTCTGTATAATACTTTTCAAAAATAATAATGTCCATGTAGAATCATGAAGAATTTATAGAAAATTTACCTCTAAATGCAGCTTGTTGTGGCATACCAGGAGCTACTCCATTAGCCATTAAAGGCATTCCCATAGCTCCAGTTGTTGAAGTGCCTGTTTGTAAAGAAGCACTAGGTAAACCCATACTCATTGGTACCATTCCTACAAATGTCATAATTTTCTTGTTACATATTTGTGCCATCATTTTGCAAGTCAAATTGTTTTCAATTGTCATACATGCCAAATCTATTTTCATTGCTGCATTTAACTTTAATGAAAGTCAGCCAACAAAAAGAAAGCATGATCTTTTCAAATAATATACACATTCTTACCTCTACCCATACCAAATCCACCAACTGGTTGTGCCCCCATACCCATGCCCATTGGTTGAACACCAAACGATCCAATGACTGGTGATGGATCAGCTTTTAAACTTGCTGGAATATTTCTTGGTAGCTCATATCCCTGTAATTTCTTCTTAATCAGATGCATGGCTATTGAGAATTCCTTTTTATCCATTTTCCCATCTCCATTCATATCTGCTAGAGTCCTGTATAGAAAATTATATTAATAGGTATCCAGGTTTAAACGGCAGATATTAATCACATATATTTCTAATCAAGATTTTGAATTTACAAGGATATATTGAATTTCAATTGTGAAGACAGACAAATTGCATCTTTATAATTAAGACATAAAAAAGAGAGATGGTTTTTTGAGGACATAATTCTTTTTCTGAAGACAAATCTGCACATGCCATAATGATTTCGGGTAATTCTAAAAGTTACATACCATATCTGTCCTAAAACTTGATTGGGCAGCCCAGATTGCAAGAAAAATCCTCTAGCTTGTTCACCTGTCGAAAATATAAATTATATTAGTTTTATATGTGAAAGTAAACCATTAAGTGTTTAAGTGTTTCTGAATTCCAAAAACTACATAGGTGTCTAAGATATTTCTGATTTAGTATTTTTTCTAATCCAAAATGTTGTTTTCTTGTTTTTAAGGTGGCTACCTCCACACATATGAAAATTTAGAATTCTACATTAATGTACAAATACCTGATTAAGGCAATACTTGACAGTTCCAATTAACTATTGAAAGAATTTGAGCATTTTCTGTTTCCTCATCTTTACAATATTTCCAGAAATGATTCAGTGTCATCTGTCGTTTCTCATTTCCCATAAAGGTAATGGGACAACATACCTGTAACAAACCCATTTACAGGCTTAAGTTGAAAGAACTGAGAGTCATGTTTAGCTCTATCTTCACCACTAATTCTCCATGGATCATCTCGACCTACAACAACAAAATACAACTTATTATTTCAGAATACAAATGAAGTCATTAACTTATGAGGTATAAACATAGTATAAGTGTAAGCCTTCTAGATATAAAATAAATATTAATGATTATGAATTTTAATCAAACTGTTCACAATTGGTGATTGTAGGCTACAAATTAAAGGATTTAACAATCAGGATATATTTGATAAGTTTGAATCTTGACGTACAAAATAAACAGTGGTAAATTAAATCTCCATTTCAATTTTATAAAATCTCAACTTACCAGTGCCAGTTCCAGCCATTGTATCTAACTTTAACTATGACCTGTCCTCTTAAATTCATCCACAATATGGTGTGTGATTTTCTAAAAACACATAATATTTTGAATAGGTTGAATATGTGCTGAAAATTAGATTTAGACTTTTGTCTTTTCCATGACATTATCAACATAGAAAAAGCAGCTTATATTGTCTAAGGAGAATATCTTTGTGATTGCTATGACATAAAACAGATTCTTCTATTCTAATGGAATTCCACTACCCACAGACAGACATCTGAGAGAAAATGTGAATGGTGCAAATCAATGCTATCATAAGAGTCACGATACACTTCAAAAGATAGGGAAAATTTCAATGCTGATTTGAGTTTTGACTGCTACAGAGTAGGCTTAGAGTAGGCCAAGAACTACAACTACAAGTACCCAGTACAATTTAAATATTAGTGCAGTAGAAGAGAGCAATGTCATCTCTATTTCGACAACGACGATTTACTGTTTACTTGATACTTACCCAGATTCAAACAGCCAATGTATTAGTCCTTGATATCAAACAAATTTGATACTTATTAACATCTTTATTCATTTTCTATTCACTTCAATTCAGTGGGCAGCCATCTTTTTTATTTGCCAGCATCCAGAATGACGAATCGTAGAAGATGGTTTCTAGCTTCCTTCGCGAACCAATCTTTGTGCAACTTTGCCTTCTGTGACTCGAGGTCTTTTCCTGATATTTTCAAAAACCACAAAGCACGGTTCAACTAGTTATGTAGGTAAAAAATAAGGATTTTCTAAGCCATCTATTTTTTCGGTCCGTCTGTAATCGGCATTGAGCTTTGCATTGTGGGAAGAGTGGGCGTTTACCATTTGAAGCTTAATGAAGAATGTAAACAGAGCAAGTTACTTTTACTTTGGAAAGAATGTACATGGAATTAATCTAATTTGAACGTGTACGCACTGCTGATAAAAGGCCTTGAAATTCATAGTCATGAAATGCATCAAAAGGACATTGTCAGTCAATGGCAAACTTCCAAATTTTGTTGAAGATGAATGTGTAAGTCGAAGGGAGATAACTTTAGTTATTTTTTTTTTATTAAAGAGACACACCCTTATAAATATTTTATTCATATTCAATGATCCTAAATGTTTTCTACCTTTAGAAATTGCCAGATATGAAAATTGAAATAACTTATAGAATTTGTTTTAAAAGTTATTTAGTTGTTTTATTTTATTTTGTGAATGATATTGCAGGATATTCCAACCATCTTAAACTCTCATGAAATAAAAGTACAAGTAAAAGTATGTGGTTTATCGTTGGTGGACGAAAAGGTAACCATTTACTTCACACACAAGACCTGTGACAGTTTTTGGAAGTGTCTATTGAATGATTTGTTTCATACCAATTGGTAGGGCCTGTACATAGAAACTATAAAATAATAATTTTATGGGCTTATCCTAACTGAACACAGGGAAGATATTTTGGGGATGTTTATGCCAGCTCATACTGTTTTCTTAAAAGGATATGTACTATAGATTGTGTCATAATTTTTCATTGAATAGGGTTGAGAGATGACATCCAATAGTCTCCTGATCTAGCAATTGGCATCAGAATATTTAATAGGCCTAGTCATTCTAAACTGAGAGGAATAGTAAATACCATTTAGATTACCGGGTACAAATTTATATTTTACTGATGAAAAGAAAAAAAGCAAGTAGAATGAGATGGAAAATTGTCATATCTGTTGTTACTGCCTGGCACTAAATTCGCAATATAATGATGTTGCAAAGGGATAATTAGATATTCAAGAATATTGACATTTTATTTTAGTTTTTTACCTTTACTTACCTGTATAATTACATAAAATAATGAGCATGTGTTTCTCTCTTTTAATTAGATCCTACATGATTTATATAAGAAGTCAATTAAAGAAGAGTTCCCTTTGGGTCATGATGTAGCAGGAATAGTTGTTGATATTGGTGAAGCAGTAACACATGTTAATAAAGGAGATCATGTTGTAGGTATGTTGAGTGCCAATAAATGTAATTTCAGCTATGATGCCTGTTAATGTCGAAAATGTCCTTGTTCTGAAATATATACCACAATTATCAATGGTTTGATTGAAAATTTATTTCAATAGAATAGAATAATATCATTTGCTAAAAATGCAACATATAAGAACATTTTTCAAATTTCTACCAATATTGACTATGCCAATTTAAATAGATGTTGTGTTTCTGTGTATGAAAGCTATATAGATTTGTATTATGTAGATAAAATATATTTTATTTTGAAGGCATACTACCTTTAGACAGTAAATATTCTGGTTGTGGAGAATACTGTATTTTTCAAGAATACAATGTTGGTGAGTTCTATTCAACTTTACAGTTGTTCTTGTCGTCCTCAATTTGCATTTCTCTTTAATGATTTGAACCAGTGATTGTTGTTTAATAATGCTTAGTCAATAAATTGATCAATGTTAAAAAATGTCATTAACTGTTCACTAAAGACATCACTATTTTTGTACTCAGTTACCAATAACATAATTTTATACTCAATGATTTACTGCAGACATCACTATTATTACTTTATACTCAATGATTTACTACAGACATCACATATATTACTTTATATTCGATGATTTATCACATCACTATTATTACTTTTTCCTGAATGATTTACTACAGACATCACTATTATTATTTTATGCTAAATGAATTACTACAAACATCACTATTAATATATTATTATAATTGAATTACTGCAGACATTAGTATTATAATTTTATGCTAAATGATTTACTACAGACATCACTTTTATTCTCTTAAGCTAAATGATTAACTACAGAAATCACTATCTGCAATGATTTACTACAGACATCACTGTTATTCTTTTATGCTCAATCACTATTGCTATTTTACACTGTATATTTTAGTAAGGAAACCACATCATCTAAGTTTTGAAGAAGCTGCAGCTAGTATTGGAGATTGTGTTAAAGCCTATACAGCATTATATTATCTTGGAAGAGTGGGAGTAGGTGATACAGTCTTAGTTATAGATGGTGCTACTCATTTTGGTAGTATAACTATCCAAATCGCTCAACACTGGGGCGCAAAGGTAAGTTTTTATCTCACCAATTTTTAAAACAAAAATCCTTTTTATAGAGGCATGCTGAGGTCAATCTTAGACTGACATCAAGTGTCAATATTACCACAAGTCCACTTTATTTTAAAGAAGTAAGTAACACACTAATTTCTGGCTTGTATAGTTTCCCATAAAAGTGGACTGCTTGTTATAATGTTTCAAATCATTCTTGCATGTGTGATTCTTATGATGTTTATTAAAAAATTCTGACATTAAGATGCAAATGATTCATGAATAATCATGTAAAAGAACTCAGAACTGAAGCTGAATTCAATAATATCTGGTGAATCCATAAGGATCCTTAATATAATAAAGAGTAAGTTTTCATCTTAGATATCACAATATCTTTCTGTACATGTTATTTTGCAGGTTATAGCAACTTACAGTAGTTCTGAAGAAAAACAGTATCTAGATACTCTACAGCCTATACAAACTATAGAATTAAACAAGAAAAATAATGTTCTTGCTAGTAATATACGAGAGGAAACAGGTGGCATTGGTCTGAATTGTATCATTGATAATGGAGGTGAGCCATGTAAAGTTGGTGCTGGTGTCTTGCAAGGTTCATAGGTCTTAAGCCACATTTTGTCTTTGCCAAATAATCTTACATTTTGTAGTTTCTCTGAGCCTTTTTTTATAATAATGTCCACATTAAATGGAGATGTACATTGTTGCAACCCTCATCCCTTCATTCTTACACAAGCTGCTTGTTATCACGAGAGAGGCTAAAATTTTGATGATATAGTTTTTTTTACAAAACCTGTATGATATGTAAAGCGGGATTTTGATATCTGCAAATAGGTAAGTGACTATAACTGTCTGCTCGTTGAATGTGATTTAAATTCCCAGACCTATTTTATGAAAGAACCTTACAGGCATACATGTAGGCCTGGAAAAAATATCATTGTAATGGCATAGTGGTACCATCAATTCTATTAATTGAATCATGTATAATAACTGATTTATTTTCAGTTCGATTGTTCACTGACGATGAAGATATTACATTATGTAATGAAGTATATAAATATCCTCTTCCTCATAAACATGATGTCATATCCTGTCTTGGTTTCTCTGGCCGATGGATAACATCTAAATCAGATTTACAGGTATGGCTATTATAATGAACAAAGTATTAAATGAATAAAAAAGTAAGAACTCCACTTATATAAGGATAACAACTTCGGTTCACTAAGATCCTTTCTACTATCTGGTCCTTGGTGAAACCTCTTAGCAATGATCTTTCTTTCCTGAATTATCATACCCATTTCCAGCTGGGTCAACATGTAGTAATTAGTTATAGATATTAGTCTTAATTATAGCTAGATCCACCAGATTGTCAACAGTTGTTTTATCGTGGAGCCAGTCTCAGTTTCTTATTTCATCATTCCTGGATATTGACAAATTGTCAACAAGGCAAATATCAACGTATCCTTTTGTTGAACCAGTATTATAGTATAGTACAACAGTGGATCAATATATATATATATATATATATAGAAAGTGCTAATGCTCTGAACCACAAAGTGAAACCTGAAATGCAAAATAACAGTTTGGAAATACATTGGTAGTGGCTAATGAACTTTAACTCAAGGTTCACACGCTTTTAGTAATTGACTATTGCAAATATTTTGACGAAATATCTATTAATAACAAACATAAGACATCAGCTTTTATGGATATGGGGATTAAAAGTCCAAAATTGGACTTGAACTCACAGAAGTTTCAAACAACCTGCAGCATTAGACGATAGCTTTTTCAAAGAAAAAAAAAACTTTAACTAAGATTAGATGTACTTAAAGATAGTATGAAGAAGATAGCTGATGGAATTATTAAGTAAGTGGCATAAACTCTGTCATACATTAACATCATGTGTATATATTATGCAGTAGCTGAAAGACTCTATGTTTAAAGCTCAAATGAAATTATGTTTTTCGGGCAGTTGGTAAAGAATTTTCTTTTAATGAGCTTCTCAAGAGCCCTGACTAAAATCGAATTTTATTTTTACCATGAGGAGGCGTATGGCACGACACATACAAGCTTACCAAGTGGCACTTTCGTTTTATCCTGCCACATTTCATTCTTTTGTATTTTGGCTCTAAATCTATGAAGTGACTCATATAGAGATGTCTTTTTTTCAGATTATTATATTATTAATTGTATTTCAGATGTAAAATTACAGAAACAGTAAAGTTTGACAATGTGATGAGTGTTCTAAAGAATCTACCTAACCAAAGAGTTGGAAAAACTATACTTACATTTTAAAAATTGTTAAGAGTGCTTCCTTATTGAACCTGTGTTATTAAATAAATTATTTAAATTTTTATATCATTGAAATCCTGGATAGGGCCTACACAGAATTTAATCTGATAAAGTGAAATAACTTTTTATACGCCCTCAATGTGGTCGTATATTGTTGTCGCCCCCGTCGGTCCGTCTGTCCACAATTGGCTTGTGAACGCAATAGAGACAACAGTTTCTATCTGATTTGAATAAAATTTGGTGTGATCATATTCATGAGATCTTGGACAAGTTAGAATTTGACGATCTTTCGATGAACGCTTTTTTAGTTATTAACCTTGACGCATCAAAATTTGGTTGTGAACACAACAGACTACAGTTTTCACCTGATTTAAATGAAATTTGGTGTTAATATTTATAATGATGAGATCTTGGACAAAATTTGTTTTTGAACACATTAGAGAGTACAGTTTTCATCCGATTTAAATGAAATTTGGTATGATCATTTATAATGATGAGATCTTAGTCAAGATTTAATTTGACAAATCTTCGATCAACGGAATTTGAGTTATTGCCCTTGACTTAGTAAAAACGCATCAAAATTTGTTGGCAATAGAGGTGACAGTTTATGTCAGAATTTTATTAAATAATATGTGTTTGTTTAAATCAACAATATCTTGCACAAATGAGATTTTTGGTATGATTTGACACAGATAGGTGACTGACCTTGATATACTGAAAATGTATGAGGAAAGTGGGCGTATCTTGCTAGGCAACCACTTGTTGTGTCAGTTGAGACCTTATCATCCCACTGTTCACTAATTATCTAATAGATAACAATTCAAATCATACACCAAAATATATTCATTTACCAGTAATATACTCACCAGATAAACTGATCCAAAGAACATAGCAACAATTCCTCCCAGGTCTTGTATGGTCACAATTTTAACTGGTCCCAGTAATATGTTCACGAGGTAGATTGGTCCCAGCAATATGGTCACAAATTATGTTCCAGTTATGTATTCGCAAATAAGTTGGTCCAAGCACATAAGGTATATTGGTTCCAATAAATTAGTCACAAGGTTAATTGATCTCAGTAATTTAGTCCTCAGGTAAGTCCCAAGGTAAATTGGCCAGGAAATAAAAATGAAATTCTGCCAACGAAGTTGACTTTAAGATGGTGGAACTATCGGAAAGCCTTAAAGAACTATGGATTATCAAAATTATGCATCGAGCAAGATGTAATTGATTATTGTTACCGTATCATAACATTGTTACCGTTAATGATTTGAAGTTTGGCTAATATGGAGGCTTTGTAGCTGTAGAATCAAATGTCGTTACAATGGGGATTATCGTTGAGTCCATTTGGCATCACAGTCTGTAGTTGATCGATCTAGTAACTTTCGTGTTATAGACGTCTAAGCTTAGGTTTGATACTATAGGTGATGTAGAAACCGCTTCTAAAGGCATAATGAGAAGGTCATCAATGGAATGACCGTGAAGTTTGAAGTGATTCGCAATTGGTCTATCCATGTCATGCACTATAGCGATGGCCATTGAATCGCGTTAAATAATATAAAAATATCGTCTAGAAACCTTCCATAAAATAAAGATTTAAATGGTGAGATATTTTCTCCCTCTCTCTGCCATAAAAAATATTCGCATAACTAGAGTCAAATCGTTTACCAGTTGCATTTCCAGATGTTTGTAAATATATTATCCATCTATAGTTAATCATTGAATACATATTTCGAGTGAAATACGTTTCAAAGTGACTCATTTATTTTGGGGAAGAATAGATTTGGAATAACTCTTTCGGGGAGGAATGATCTCATTGGGGAAGCATTGAGAAGCATTGATCTGATGGCTTATGAAAAATAAGGTCGTTGAATTTTCGCAAGTTGGCGGCTAAATTTGGTCTCTGACGTTGGAGGTTTGAAGAAACTTGTATCTGGGTGGCGAATACAAGTTGTGTTCGAGCAATTTGTTATTATGTCTTTTGCATTGTGATTAAGGTACAGGATATTGGGGATTTCATCAGTTGACTATATAGTATCATGTACCTTTTCAAAACTCATTCTTTTCCCATTGCAGGCGGTAGATTTTCTCGGCTACGACAGAGAATCCATGATCGACCTAGTGCATTTATCTTTTTATCAGCTCAACAAAACAACACCGTGATAAAATATTTGTGACCATATTACCTTGGCCAAGTTATCGCGCATTATATATTAGTGACCCATTTACCTCAGGAGCAATTTTCCCATGACCGCGTAGCTTTATAAACCTCCTTCTGGTGACTTGATTTCCTCTATTGGTCACCCCGCTCTGTCCCGATATTATCTTCTTTTTAAGAAATAGAATTCCTTTTAAATTTGTATAGAGCTGTTACTGTTAATATCAGTCAATATCACTTAGTATAACAGTAATACTCTTTATATCAAAAACAATGATTATAGAGCTCATTGTGAATGCAGAAGAGCATAGCTTACAATATTGCCTTACAATATACAAACAACTTGAAAACAAACTTCCAAAATGAGATTATAACACACGACATGTTTAACTTTATACTTTATATAACAAAGTCGATAGCTATTGAAACTAACTGGTTCACATTTCACTGTAGTGATAATGAAAATGGCTTTCTTCGTTTGGGATTCACAAACACAGCGGTATTTTAATTATTTAATTCTCTCGGCCTCGGCATTGTATTTGATATATCGAATCTTTAAACGAAAGCAGAGGACGTTTGAACTAGTTGGGAATGTGGAATCTTTGTATTCATTCCCAGTGAAATCCTGTGGTGGAGTAAAATTAGAATTTGCTGAGTGTACAAAATTAGGATTGAAATATAAAGATGTTACAGATAGGTGAGTAGATAGATATCGACTATTAAGTTTAATTTATTTCATTAAAGAGATGGAGTTTTAAATACGACATCGTACCTTTGATCCGTCATGTCCATGCTCACTTTAAGTTCGAATCCGGTACGAAAGTGATTTTGTAACTGTTTCTTATGTTAATATCATCTATCTGTCCTCAAAATGTTGTTAACATTTTAGTTGAATTGAGAATCAATCAACATCGGACTATATTCCATCATCAGCTCATTAATTGACAATTACCTAGTGTAGTGGTGTTATGCTGTAAAAGCTATTCTCTATATTATATAAAAAAGTATCCTATCCATCTATTTTACTGGCAGATTTTGCTTAGAACAGTGACCATTTTCTGAGCAACAAGACAAACGGAGGAGCAGCCATTATATCCTATACTCGACTGCGATTAAAATGTAACATAATCTCTACGAGAAGGGCGTATACGCTACTCAGCTGGATACCAGTCTATGCTATATGCATACGAAGCTAGGTATGGTTCTAACATGGAAACAACACACACGAGCGTAGTTGAAAACCATTTTGAATCTCCTTGACTATAATATTTCAACAAAGCCTTCAAATCTCATATATAGCAATTTCTAAACCTTTAAATCTGATTTGAAAGCCTGGTGTAAATATCATAACCTCTATCAAAATTAAGTCGCGGAAGAGATTCAAAATGGATGTAAACTATGTAAGGATCATGCGAACTTTCGTATGTGCTAAATGCTTTAAAAAAGAAACCCATCTCATTCTTTGTAAATTTTCAGACAATGGCTGATAGTAGATAGTAATAATAAAATGATCGATTTAAAATCAAAACCGAGATTATGGTTGGTTAAACCAAGAATAACAGACGAACATCTTATACTAACAGCTCCTGATATGATCCCACTCAAATTACCTAAAATTATACATTCATCAGCTGATAATACAACCAATGTCAAGTAAGATATCTATTAAATATAAAATAAACTTAGTCTATCAGGGAACAGCCGGGTTAAAGTGACTGTAAAGAGTTTTTTTATGTGTACCGTAGACACTGGTGGCATCGTTTTGCACTCAGACGTCTCTATGTCTTGCAATTGCACTTAAACTAAGCAAAATATGCTGATAATATCTTTGTGATAGTGCCATCATACAGCTATTATTTTAAGTAGAATTGCAAGAAAAAAATGAAATGGTGCAAATCCATGCTATCAGTGCCGATACACATAAAAAGTTTAGAAAACCTTTGTAGAATCTTCTTAAGATTTGAAAGGGGAAGGGATGTATATTGTTTCTTAGATTCTTGCAAAATTTGCGGAATCGTGCCATAGCATTGAATTGGGAACTACTAAAAAAGTCAGGTGGTCGCTAAGTAAACTTCCGCAACGGAAATCGAGACTTTATTTTACAGGCTATATGGAGACGATATAGTAGAAGCAGTTGATTGTGGTCTAGAGGCATCACAATGGATTTCTGATTATCTCATTCTACCCGGTACTAGAATTGTCTTCTCAGCTCCCGATCTTCCCAAAAGAGATATAACATCCATACCTAGACCTTGGAAAAATAATGCCAAGAAAGGAGATATGGTATGTATTATGTAATCGTATATACATTCAATCTTGTTAATACAGATCGTAAGTTTTGTACTTTAAAATTATGCAAGGTTATGGACCAGATAAAAAATGCATTTCTGTGTTGGTTTATCTAAATATTGTTTGATGGTAAGGATAGCCCGAAATCATATAATCAATATTCCCTTCATCAAGCTAATTCTGAACTGATAAGCTAAAGAATCTACAATCTTTAATCATCAACTGGTAAAATTTACTTCAGGAGAAAGAGTATGAAAATGTCCAATCATAGGGCAATATGATCTTATCTTATCTTATTCAGATACCTGAAACAATGCCACTTATTTGTGATCAATTAATCTACAAGAGGAAACCTTTGGAGTGTTTTCGTTTTCTAATGAGCGTTGCTCATGTAAACAGTTCAAATTGGCTGTCTTGATAATTATTTAGCGGAAACGCTTGTTCTTTGACGGCTAAGATGATCCCGTGACAATTATAAATTCCATCTATATGTGCCATTAAGATTTGTGTTTCAGAGTGTATTTTCTTACATGACACCATACATGTTAGAATCTGCCAGTTCATTAGATGAAGTTAACCAGGGATTAGAAAACCCAGCAGAAATGCTACGATTTAGACCCGGAATAGTCATTACAGGATCTAAACCATTTGACGAGGTGAGATTAGAAAACAGTTGTATGCTTCACAATGTACAAACTTCGTATTTATACCTTGACTACAATAGCCACGTACCTTTCTCGTATCGCCAGCGAATACAGCCAATCAGATCCCTCGCCAGAAAGACTGTAAACTTCTAGACTTTCTGCCGAGGTCTGTTTTCGTTAGCGTACAATCCGATCAAATCGCTGTATTTACAAACTTCATGGGAGAAGACGCAGTTCGTAATAGCTTTGCATTGTGAAGATGAGTTGTCCTAATATGTCTCCGATTACCGAACTCCTACATCGAATTCTGAAAATAATCTGATCATGCCTTGTCTAGCCATAAAAATGCAATATACGACATGCAATGTAAAATTTTGAAAATATGATGTATTGTATTCTCTTTGTGAGTATTGGCCCACTGGAAGTAAGCGAATAATTTGATCCACGAAACATCTTGAATTTTAATAAGATTTCATAATTTTCTGCAGGATACATGGGAATACATACAGATTGGTGATGATAATTTGTTTAGAATTGTTGAACCATGTCGAAGGTAAATAATAAATAAAATAACCTCTTTTCTTCTCACGCCAGTCGCAGTTAAGTTTAATATTAACGATAGCCAATATGATTTTGTCAAGCCTCTCCAATATCCATGAAGAATGTGTCTTCTAAAGTGTTTCAAGCAAGAAATGAACGTTTAAATTTTTTATACAATTATTTTATGTATATAAATAATGGAAACAAGTATTATTTGTATGTAGACTGATATATACAATTTATTTTATTTTATAATAATGTAGAATGATGTATACAATTTGATTTATATATTTAAATGATATTCTATGTAGATGCATTATAACAACAATAAATCCAAATACTGGTATTAAAGATAAACAAGTTCAACCACTGAAACATTTAAGGAGGTAAATATATGAATATCAATTTTTGTTATTGGATATGAGATATTAAAACCCAAACGAACTGTTTCAAATAGGAAAATCCGAATTCCACGACTGGCATTTGAATTGCGAAAACCCTGATTGTAAAGCAGGTGAGATTGCTGACAATCTCTCTATTGTGGTAAATGTAATAAATGTGATGAGATATTTGCTAGCAGCTTCTATTGTGGTATTTATCACAATAGGAATATACGGGTTGTTGAGGGGGTTCTTAAATATAATGTATAATTGCGAATATAATACGCACCCTTTCTTCAGAGACTGTTAGTTACAATTACAGTTGTCACCACAATATGGCGTATAGCAGTGCATATTTTATTCTGAAAATTATATAGGTAGTTGATACATTAGTTGGTCATCCTAAACGGTATTTGTGGTATTGGGTGTTATTGAAGACACCCTTCTACAGAAGCACTGGCCTAAAACACAAGTAGAGAATATAAATTTTATATATTAATTAGCATTTAAAGTAAATAATAAATGTGATTTTTTATTCAATGAATATTATAGTAAAAAAGTAAAAACGAGTAATTTGTTGTTATTTCAGTATTCGATGTAGAAAACCATACGGTCAATCCCCTTGTTTTGGTATTTATATAACTCTAGACAGTACAGGTGGTGATTGTATGATACGAGTTGGACAACCTATAAGAATATTAAGAAGATAATAATATCAAGAGGGAGAGTTTTTGATGTGATTATGTTCACTTTATCGTCATTCCAAGGGTGAACGAGTCAGACTTCTCTTAATATATATATATAAATCTTGGTGAATTGAATTAGGCACCTTAAAACACCAAGATTCTCTCTATAGGACCAATTACCATTATTTATTTTATTAAATCATATTAGACCATTTAACATATTTATTTTTATGAATAGCTGACATTAAAGAGGTTCAGTTGTCATAGTCCACAATATGGTAACTGTTTTCAAACAGAGTTAGGTAATTAGATTCGAGCAACTAATTCCTTCAAATGAATATCTTATGAAATAGTTGTATACATATCTAGGTCATCGTGTGTTAAAACAGTTTATGTTTGGATCGCCTTATCTAATAACAGACACTCCATGTAGGTTAATGGCGGATAAGACGCACAATATTACATCAAGATAATTCGAATTATAAACTGGATTAACAATCTTAAGAAATCAAGCGAAAAAATATCAGATTTATATTATTTTTTTAGTAGCATTAACAATCCCTGTGGTTCATAAACCAACATTTTATCCACACATACAGAGATATAAAGTTGGGAATGAGAATTCATCAATTCATGTGAAATTTCAGTAATCGTGATTTCAAAATGAGCGCTTCACTAAGATATCGACCCATAGAGGAACGTGAATTAGCGAAAGATTTTGGATTTGATGTTACAGCTCCTTCTGGTGGTGTCCAAACATCTGGTGCCAATAACAGAGAATACAAAACGGAATGTCGGAAAATTTACAGTGAATTTCTCATGAATATGAGAGATTACATCTTTCAAGAGGAACAAATTAAAAAAGAATTGACGAAATTGCGAGCACAAACAGCATCACCCCATAAACAAGCAAGAGATCCAATAATAAGCTTGAGTTCGAGGTGTTCGTCCACAAGGCGCGATAGTCTTTATAGTGACACAGGCCTCCACGATAAGGAGATTCTGAGACCTGGCAGAATTGATCTGAGTAAAAAGAGACCAAAAACTGTCATTGGGACTGTGCGAGGGCGAGATGTCAATTTAGATCATGTTGATGGTCAAGAAGATAATATTCTACCAGATATAATTACAACTCATGGTGGTTCAACGTCAATAACCACTAATCAAACAGTCAAACATTCCTCCTCTGCAACGGACAACAGAAAGCAAACTTCCCCAAGAGATCGAGAGGATCATAATGCAATTGTAGAAAGTAGTTCAGACTTTGCTTGTAGTAGGGTTATCAGAATGAACCCCCGCGCTTATTCTAAATTGGTGTGTGGAAAAGCTAACGTTCATGTTTTGAATAGGAGTTCTGGATATCTTCTAAAGCCAGTTTCAGAAACTAAAACAGATGTTCTTATGCCAAAAAATGTCGGTAGATCAAACGTTCCAGAAAGATTAGCTATTGTCAGAGAAAGGACCAATTTCAAATCTCCAACTTTATCTAACGACCTGAAGGTAAATAATTTATTAGCTATAAAGAAATCTTTAGTTGGTGACACATCTCCCAGATTGACTGTAGGTCATGTGATGAACAGTGCAAGAGAAAGACGCTCGAGACTCTACAGAATTCAGTTAACATCGGATGTGATAGAACATTCTAAAATCCAAGATCAGAGAAGTCCAAGAATTAGTCATTACTGCAAGTCAAAGGCACCGTGTTCATCTCCGCCGACAGCTCGTCTAACAAGAAAAAATTTGGCTAGATTTGAACAGGATATTCAAAAAGAAGCCATAGAAAAGCTCAGGAAGACTGTTGTCGAGATGGTGTCTAGTGTTGAAAATAGGGTTGACGAAGAAAATCATTCTGGTGATAAACATTCCATCCAATCGAGGAGATGTGACGAATACCCAGTTGACCGAATCCATGAAGACGCCTACCTGTACAACCAACATACTCCTCGAATCCAGGAACAAGACGCAATAGCAGATTCTGATCATAGACCAAAATATGATACCGGTTTACGGCGGATGTCAAGAGTTTCATATTTAGAACCTGTCACTAAAACTGAGTCTCGTCGAGGAAGCACATTTTTAGAAAGGATTAAAGATGGTTCCCGATCTCGACTAAGGAGTGAAATGTCCACGAGACCTTCGACTATGCACAGTGGTTTTTGTTCTGAAAATTCGTCACCTCGCAGAGTGAGCCATCAAGAAACAATAGCATTGGTGAAACAATCAAAAACAGATGATGACTATAGAGATAATGAACTCAATCTTTGGAGACAGAGGATGATATTTGCTGCTGGGAAAAAAGATCTACCTGTATCCAAGGTTTAACTATTTTCTCACGTTTTTGTTTTTACCAACATAATCAATTGAGCATTTGAATTATCATGTCCAACCAGAATATGCTTTGCCCCCATTCGCTTTATCCAAATCGATTGTATCCATTTTAGCATGTAAAATTAAAGATGTGAACATATGAAATGCCAAAATTGGAAACACAGACAGTTATAAAAAATATCATTTATTGTATATAAAATATATCTAAATAAATTATTATATTAAGTAATTTGTTCTATAATATCAAAACATTCTTTACGAATTAAAAACATTTTCTGATGAAAGAAATTTCAGAAAATATGGAATGTGGTACCTTGTGGGGTACGGAAGCAGTGTATTCTCTTGATGAACTGTTTAATGATTCATTTTATGGAGATTGGTGACAACTTTCGGCCCAAGGTTAAGAAAGGACAGTTTTCAGCTTTTATGTTTAAAAGATAATTCTGACCATGAAATCTGACGTCCTCTCTTAACCTTTAGTCGAAAGTTGTCACTAATCTGTAAAGAGATTTTAGAGAGGCCCCGTACAACAGTCTGCAGCAGCTGAATGAGGATTACTATCCCATCAGACTAGCATCTTTTTCTTGCACGAATAATCAATTTGAATTGTGTGGTCCATTTTCGCTGATAATAAAATTGCTGGTCTAATCATATTGATCTTAATGGAGACTATGTTGAAAAATTGAAGAAAAAAATTGCACTTTTATGTTAAAGTCAGGCTAGTAACTTTTTGAATTACCAATAGAGTCATAACTTTCAATAATTGTTCTGTTGTGTGTGGGGAACCAGACACCGGTTTACTTTTATTCTGAAAGGACATTCATTGATAGCTGAAATTTAGTGTTACGTTTGGTTTTTGCAATTTCATATTTAGAATATTTGTACAATATAATTCTACCTAAAAAGATAAAAAAAAAAAAGTGACAACACCATAACAACATTATTAAAGACTATCAGTAAATCACATTTTACACACGAATCTCTAAAAAACCTGTCACCCATTCTACTTGCAAAACATGATTTTTATCATTTTACATCGTAAAAGAATGGTCTGTGGCCTCCCATAGAAAAGTTTGTGGCCCCTGCTCGACCCCCTCACCTAGTGTTTCCTAGAAACGCCACTGAAAAGGGCACCAGAGAAATCCACAGAAGAATTCAAGTAGAGGCTATAAAAATGTTACTATAAATGTTATTGTTGAAATAATGCAAGTGTACTTACAAAATTAAAAAAGACATAAAAATACAAGTAAGACAAACAACTTGTAACTAATTGTTAGACCTGAACAACCACTTATACCATCAACTTGTAATGATACCACAATAGCAGCTCTACAAAACAATAATATTATCACATTCAAATCACGTATTTCGATACAAACATTCACTGGATTTCAACTGATAATATAAACATATGGGTAAGTAGTAGGTAGGGTATGCGGGGTTATGACAGGGAAAATATTGTTATTATTGTATGTACATATATACAACAATTTTATTACCAAGACTTGACATGATCTGTTCTGTTCTGTTGCCTGAAACCTCACAAATACCAAGTCAATTATATTACAAATTGTGAAGCAGTATTCAGTAGAGTAAACCTCAGAAGTTTAATCACTCCTATATCAATATGGACTATACATGTAGATATCATATCAATCTATCCTTGACAGATCAAAAACTTCACTATAACTATTTTTTTTAATTTGGACCTATTCACGCACAAACGCGAGATCATTCTTAAGAATAATCAATGTTAGAAATGTATATTGCAGCATATTAAGATGACTATATACCTGTTTGATGGTGTACCATTATCAGTAGCAGAAACATAAATAGTGTATGATTCACCACTGCTTAAAGATCCTTTTACATACAAAATACCATCTTTATCAACATAAAACTTATTGAGACTATTGGGTTCACTATCAACATGGTATGTAATTCTATTGTTTGAATAGGAAATATCCTTGTCACTAGCACTAACCTGAAATATGACAGATTAATATTATAGGACAACAGGTCCTGAATTTCCAAAATTTCCAGGGTAGGCCCTCACTAAATCGCCCCTCCCCACCAAGACTAGTGTCCTCGAATGGCGCTCGAATGACGTCACTCTGTCAATGAAATGCTTGCTACGCCACTGGTACAGGAAGCTAATATACATGTATTGAGCTTTACAGACAAATAATTATAAAACTATTATCCCATTAATAGATATTTAATAAATACACTAAATTTAATAAATCTAAAAAATATCTGTGAACTGAATGTATACTTACATTGGCAATGACCTTTGGATTTGTGTAATCACCAGCAGGTAGAGTTTTTGATAAAATTGATTTGGAATGAAGATTGAATATTGGAGAATTATCATTAACATCTTCAACAAATATCCGAACAGAGACTGTATCTTTGGTACTAGCATCAACTTTATCTTTTAGGGTCACCTTAAATAACATATTATGTTTATTATATATATTTATATCATTGATCGTCTTACTCTAAAAAAACACTTATGATGTTAAAAAAGGATCTTATTTTTATACGAACATGAACATATGAACAAGGACTATGTTTCGATCGATAAGAGTACAACATATCACATATTGCGATACAATATCAAACATCACTAAATGTGATCACTGATACCGTGAACCAATAGTTACAATAGTAAATTATATCACTAAATGTGATCCAATAGTTACAATAGTAAATTATATCACTAAATGTGATCCAATAGTTACAATAGTAAATTATATTACTAAATGTGATCACTGATACCGTGAACCAATAGTTACAATAGTAAATTATATCACTAAATGTAATCCAATAGTTACAATAGTAAATTATATCACTAAATGTTATCCAATAGTTACAATAGTAAATTATATTACTAAATGTGATCCAATAGTTACAATAGTAAATTATATTACTAAATGTGATCACTGATACCGTGAACCAATAGTTACAATAGTAAATTATATCACTAAATGTGATCCAATAGTTACAATAGTAAATTATATCACCAAATGTGATCCAATAGTTACAATAGTAAATTATATCACTAAATGTGATCCAATAGTTACAATAGTAAATTATATTACTAAATGTGATCCAATAGTTACAATAGTAAATTATATCACTAAATGTGATCCAATAGTTACAATAGTAAATTATATTACTAAATGTGATCCAATAGTTACAATAGTAAATTATATTACTAAATGTGATCACTGATACTGTGAACCAATAGTTACAATAGTAAATTATATCACTAAATGTGATCACTGATACCGTGAACCAATAGTTACAATAGTAAATTATATCACTAAATGTGATCACTGATACTGTGAACCAATAGTTACAATAGTAAATTATATTACTAAATGTGATCACTGATACTGTGAACCAATAGTTACAATAGTAAATTATATCACTAAATGTGATCACTGATACCGTGAACCAATAGTTACAATAGTAAATTATATCACTAAATGTGATCACTGATACCGTGAACCAATAGTTACAATAGTAAATTATATCACTAAATGTGATCCAATAGTTACAATAGTAAATTATATCACTAAATGTGATCCAATAGTTACAATAGTAAATTATGTCGCATAGTGATACAGTCTTTACAAAAGTAACTTATATCACATATTGTGATACAGTGTTTACAAACGTAACTTATATCACATATTGTGACACATTGTTTACAAGAGTAACATAGCCTATATCACATATTGTGACACATTGTTTACAAGAGTAAATCAAATCACAGATTGATGAAGATACATGTACATAGGAAATTTGCTCATAGAATAACAACAATTCCCTGAATACTCACATTGAAATCATAATACTGTTCAATTTCTTTGTCAATAGAATATTGCCCTAGTTTAATATAACCATTATCATCAATACTAAATACACCATTGTCTGGTATCATAGATATATCATAATTTTCCTCCAGTCTTTGACCCTTTAAAATTGATTAATCTACTAAGGATCAAATTATTTTATTTCACTAAAATATGGCGGCGAATCCCGTATAAAGAGACATCTCAGACTAGTCACCATCTCCGTAAAGACTTAGTTGCATTGAAAAATGATAAATCTTAATTATAAATTCAATAAATCAATTATAAATGTAAACTATAGATTACCTAAACCCTTTTTGTAAAAATCCACGTCACATGCAAAAGAGCGATAGTCTATTTTACTTCACGACGAGGGTTGGCTGAAAAGTCCTCAGTGGCTTACGTCACAAACAAGTACAATCATAATAATTCAAACATGAAAAGAAAACATTGATGATGACGTGATGGATTCCGGGACGTCCCGTGTCAAATTATTCCTTTTTGTAGCAGGTGTTATTTAGCCCGATTTCGAAAATACAAAAGGCAATAGCTAGTCGCCATTATTCAAGTAATCGTCTTCTCCGCTTTGAATTGACTTTGAATTTAATATGGCTGCAGAAAATTTCTCATACAGGTTTAGCAACATCGACTGGGAATGTCTGTAAATCTGTAAAGGTACTATGCAGAAAAATAAACTGTAAGTATCGACTTGTTAAGAGTCTATCACAGGTTGCCTTAGAACTTTTCAGTCAGCACTCGTAAGTGACTTTTTAGATCTTTGTCTAATTATCAATTTCTACGATCTGGTTACTGTCATGCCCTTATTAATATGATGATTCTATATTCATAATTTGAGTTATAAATACAAACTTACGGGGTTATTAGTAATAAACAACTTCATAGGTTCTGTCAAATTTTGGCTCACAACAAAACTTCCCTCATTAGCATTTTCCATTATATAACCAGTAAATGGTGGTGATAAATTACCATCCAGAGTAGGATCTCCCAATGATGAACGTATATCAACTAAAAGCGTTGCCCTTTCTGATCGTTCGTTAAATGCCTGTTCCTTAGCCTGTAATTACAATATAGTTTACCGAAAATTATTGATATTGAAGATATTGAACATCGCAATATTTTGTCTACCGACTAGCTAGAAGATTCAGCAATAAGTCACCATTATACTGTAGACATTAGTTTTTAACCTTACCTAACTAACAACTTAATTTTGTAACAATGCTTTCCAAAAACTCACAATGTCTGGTATGGATGTTGTCTGCAGATGACAATTGCAGAAACTGAATGGAAGTTAAAAAGTTTAAAATCCTGGTATTTATGATAGAAATTTATGACTACAACATTACGTCTACAATCAGAAAATTGACATTACTTTAATGAAAACTTTGAGTTGTCCATTTGTAATCTGTAGAGCTGGATCATTTCTATCTATTGTACTTGCTAAAGATATCTGAGCTCTATACAGTGGACTTTTATAAGATGGTGTTCCAGCAGGATTATCAAATGGTCCAGTTGTTACAATAGAGAATCTGTTTTCATATCCTTCTGGTTGAGCTGAAACAATTTGACCAAAGGTGAATGTATTTTCAACCAAATACAAATAGAATACATTGGGGTTCCTACGTGAGGGTACAAGCTTGGTGAAGCTTACTTGTATAACTTGGGGGTACCTTCGAGAAGGTCCGAACATGGAGAAGCTAACTAGTATAAGTTGGGCCATCGTAACATGCGGGTTTTGACATGGTCTCCGATCTATTTTATAGTCTATCGGCTTCAGTTTTGCAAAAAAGTCGTGAACCCGCGAGCATTATAATGCTATGTTCTTCGGGGGAAGGTCTGGAGCGATGGACAAAGTCCTGACAATGAAAGGTACAGAAGAATTGATCGGCTACTGGTTTTCTCAGTCGGTTCGATCTGGAGCAGATTGTGTCGAGTGTCGTCCTGAAAAGCCCCTTATCGTCCCGAATCGATTGCTCGAGGAACGTATGTGATTCGTCCCTCCGCAATAATATAGTGGTCGGGACTCAATCGGGTCAAAAAAGGGGACGATTTGAGGCGATTCAAGACGACAATCGGGCCGATGAAAATAATAAATCATCGGGGACAATCAGGTGCGGATCGGGCCGATTGGACAAAACAATCCTTGGAATGGGGGTATTAGGCATGATGAAGTTGGGCGTATCTTCGAGCGGGTCCGAGCATGGAGGATGCTTATGTGTACCCATAGAGTTATAAATAGTTATTAACACTATGTGTGTACCATACGATACTTACTGTAAACTACAGAGAACTCTATGCTCTGGCGCTGTCCAGCATCTTGATCACGTGCTTGAATAGTTGTGGTTGCATCACTTGCAGCAGCAGGAATAGGATACACTGTCAAAGAACCAGTCTGTAAAAAACGATCGAATCGAAATATTATGTGTCTTGTTTTCTTTTTCTTATTCTAGGATCTAGGACTCTTCGATTCTAGCTTAGTCGTAATTCATGTTTAAATTCAACAATAAAATTTTCTATATAAACAGTACATATAGATTAGAACAGATAACTTATTGTACATACAGATGCTTTAATCTAATTAAAACCGAACATATAGATACGTAATGTCATTAAAGATGATTATAACATACTGTGCATATAGATGTAATGTGATTATAAAAGATAACTTATAGATATTGTGTAAGTACTAATTAAATATATGAGGCTACTTACTGTAAGTCCAGATGTAATATAAATTTTATATAGAGGATTAAAACAGACACCACTATCAACAATACAAGATTCATAGACAAATTCTGGTGGTAAATCATCTCCATCAGTTATGGTCAGACTCAGTGTTGCATAATTTACTCTGCTTGGATTTCCACCATCCTAAACATTCAAAATTTGCGTTATGATATCGCTATGTGATTTATTTGTCAATTAAAAACCTTCTGAAACATTTCTATCAAGTCATACATAAATATTTCAAATTTCAACATGATAATTATTTTCATCGAGTCAAACAAAAACTTGCCATCTATTGCTTTTATGATCCCTTGAATTATGCCAAGCAGTAAATATCGGAAGGGATTGATGACGTCAATAATCTCGAAGGACGTTATTTGTTAAAGCATATTTTGCGATTAGTGACGTCATAAAACACTTAGTTTTAGAGGAAATGAAGGAACCACAGACGTCTGATTGAAAATTGGAATGGTGTAAATTGATGCTATCAGTGTCCCCGATTATAAAAAAAAATTAGAAAAAAAACTCTTTACAATCTCTTTAACAAAATTTCAAGATGTATTAGATGTACTAGTGCATCTATTGTGTTCTTCCTTAATGTGATAAAACATATGAGTGCAAACATGAAAATTAATCATGACTTACAGATATTGAAATATTTAAATTATATACTGGTCTTTGAGCTGCATTTAAAACTTCAAAATCTAGAACATTCTTGACACTGACTTTTCCTGTAGTTGTTTGAATTTGGAACTTTGTTGATCCATCAAACTGAATTTAAAATAACAATTATCTGGAATCTAACTTCGAGAAGGCATTAAAGAGGATTTTGATTAATAAATGGTAAATACGAGTCTGTGACATCTTTAGATTAAACCTATATCCACAAGCTTTATAATTCTGGTGCATTTTTACTCAATGTTGCATGGTGTCAAGCAATCTAATTACAATTGATATTTTGTCCCCATTGTAATCTAACAAGTTTTTTGTCATAGTCATGTTATTACATCTCTTTTTTTTAAACAATCAAAGCGTATCATGTATAGGACCTGTTCCATGTAATATTACCTTAAGATTAAGCTTTACTCACTCAGAATGGAACATTGAAATAATAATAATAACAATTTGCAGAAAGCATCGAGTCGTTCATCTTATTAATTAGTCGTTTAGATGATAGTGACCCATGAACAAGGTCGACGTTCATGTTACTTATTCTGAAATATAAACCGTGTTATATATGGAAATTTGGTTTAATCTAAAATTACCTCACTTCCATCACCAGGTATAATAGCAAAATTTCCTTTACCAAAACTACCTTCATCTAAATCTGTATACGATAAACTTTGAAACACAGTAGATCCAATAGGCATTAACTAAATGTAAAAGAAGATAGAAAGATTAGGCTTTTACTGTTTTAAGTGCTGAAATTGCTGAACAAGACTTTTTTGCTGATCCTATTTCGAAATTGTCCCGAACACGAAACCAATTGGAATCATTTGGATTGGTTGAATAAACATGTATCCAGGATACAGAAGATATCTCATAATTGTAGAAAATTAGATCAAATACGCCATAATAATTTGTTACCTCATTAACAGTTCCACTATACAAAGATTGAGTAAATGATGGTGTGTTGTCGTTTAAATCTTCAAAAAT